CCGGGCCCGTAGGTGTGGGCAGAGGCTCCAGGTGTGGCTGTTAGGACCATGAAAGGCTTATTAGTGCACTCAGAGCCCTGTCACCCACTTATGAGCAAAAAAGATGGGCCTGGAGACAAGGCCACAAGGCTAGGGTCTGAGGGCCACCAAGAGGCAGGTCTGGAGACAGGCACCCACAGAGTACATCAGGCTAGGACCGAAAGGGCAAGGCTCAGCTGAAACGGGCTTCTGCTGTGGGCAACACTCTTGACTTGGGGAGTTTCACATAATTTCTTGCTGATTAACGTAAAATTTTTGTTGTTGATTCAGGTATCGACAAAAACCAATGTACCAAGCTATGAAATAGACACTTAGACCTTTCATCCCGCTTCCCCACACTCAATTCGGTCCAAAAGCTCTCCTTCTCTGCTTCCTAGTTACACTCAGTGTTTCCTCGTCCTTTTGCTGAAGCAGCAGGCAGTGCCAGAGGTTGAGGTTGATGTATGACTGTTTCGACCTGCCAGTTGTTGCTGCTCACTTTTTTCCTGTGCTCTGTTCTGCTCCATGGGCTGCAGTCCCACAGGGATGTCCTTGCTGCAGTGTCAGTCACCTGCCAGCTGCAGTCCCTCTGGGGTGTCACTGCCCTGGCATGGGTTGCCTGCAGCTGCAGTCCCTCAAAAGTGCTTCCTCTGTCATGGAGCACCTGCTCCCGAGAGCGTGCCTTCAGCTATGGTCTCAATAACATCTCCTTCCATGCATCTCCTCTGTTTTGTTTCTCCAGACATATCTTTCACATTTCTCCTGCCACCCTTTCTTGATTACTCTTGAGCAGAGGTGCCATATGCTCCTCTGACTGGCTAAAGATTTGGCATACAGTGAGTTCTTTTCATTCATTACAGGACCAGCTGCAGCTGGCTCTGACTTGCTGAGGACAGTTCATGTCCTCCTCTCACAAAGACCACTCTTAGTACCAAAACTGTGCCAGTGCCCTATACATGCCCCTGGGCCCATGTGCAGGGGCTGTGATGGGAAGCTCCTGCTGAGGCTGGTCACGCCGTCAAGGTCCTGACTGAACAGTCGATCTCTGGCCCTGTCTCCACATCATCCAGGACTTCAGCAGCCTCTGCTTGTGAGAACATCATCCCTCTCTCAGGATTTTGGCTGCCAGACTCAGGTACATCTGAAGCAACTGCCCAGCATTGAATCAGAGCACTGTTTGTGACAGAGCTGTGAGATGCCTCCATGGAGGTCTATATCCCCCTCACTTGAGAGAAGCATTTAAACTGAGTCTGTTGGTTGTGGTCCTTGCTGCCTTGCACACCTGTGCCTGGCCATGAACATCACCGAGATGGACCCTGTAATGTACCACGGCAAGTATTCATTTTGGACACTGGTAAGAAACTTTTCAAAATGCAATTTATTGGAGAAAGCATGAGAGGGAAAAAGGAGATAGCATAGATAATTTCATGTCCCTGCAGATGATGGGAACCCTAAGGTGTGCAGCATTGGATGGATCTTTATTCAGGGCACAGCACACCCTGTATATCCCATGCGTGCAGAGGTTCACTGGTGTATGATCTTTACAGCTTTTATAGGTATATTCATAGAAAAAAACAACTCTGCTTATCATTTCTACTGGCAAAGAGAAGTACATTTATATAGAAACACGCTGCTTCACTTCAGGCTAAAGACAAGGATGTGCCAGCAGCATCCATACCAGGTGCCAATTTGGGACCATCTACAAGCTCCTCCATTGCACTTAGCAGGTGAAGTTTGTCCTGCAGCCATGTGATATGTTCAGCACAGCACAGGGGCCAGGAGATGTGTGCAGCACAACACAGCACAGCACAGCATGGCACGGCATGGACCTGTGCCTGATGTCACTAACTTCTCGATGTACAAGAGTCTTCAGGCTAGGACCAGTATAGACCCTGACGCATGGACTTAACCTCCAGGCTTGATATTTGACCTGCCTCACAGGCTCGTTTGGGAATCACTGGACTGCAGCAGTAGCACTGGGAACTGTAGCACTGAATGCCTTATGGAGGAGGTCCCTGCACTGCTGGCCTTGCTGTCGCCTGCTGCCCTGGGTCCCCTTCCCTTGCCAAGCAGCCTCACCCTTGCTGCTCCTTGACAATCTTCTCTCTGTTGTCTCTTTTCCAGATTGAAGCATCTTAGCTCACTAGCCACAAGAAACAGAAAACTGAACCAGCGCTCTCTGTCTATGACTTCCTAGCCATTACGTAGCTTTCAGTTTGATCCAGCATGCTGTGCTTCCTCAAGTATCATTTGGGAGCTCAGGACAGCTTTTCCCCTGGAGTCCAGGAGGTTCTCTGAGTGCTCTTCCTCCGGTGACTCCGGTGACTATGATTAGCCTGCAAAGTCTTCAGCCAAGGACTTGGTTTGCTTAGGAGAAGGCAGGCATTGCTTGCAAGTCAAATGTGCAGAGAGGTGTGGAATTATATTCCCCAAAGGTCAGAGAAGATATGTCAGCTCCAATCCTTCCCCAAATGACAGGAGAAGGAAAGGCACACTTAGTCCACAGAGCACTTCTAATGCTGTCCTGCGCAGCATTAAAAAGAACGTGATTGCATGTGACTGTTTTTGTTCCACAGACCCCTAGCAGTACTGTGTATCCAAAACAACACACCACATAGTGAGAATGGAGTGTAGCAGATGGACAGACGACAATTTATTGACATACCAACCTCAGTCATGCTGCCAGGGGAAAAAAAATGGATTATTGGACATCACTTAGACTTCGTGGAAACTGGGAATCACGTTTTTAAACTCTTGCTGGACTTCAGAGCTCAGAAGCAGAAGGCAGTGTTTGCTCTTCTCATGGCTGCTCTTCCCTCATCCCTTTGCACCACTCTTTCTGCTGCCCTTTGCAGAAGTGCTTCCATGGGGGCTCTGGCAGCCGCATCCACTGTGGCAGCTCCTTTACAGCAGGTCCTGCTGGCCCAAACCAGCAATGCACAGGCACAGTTCTAGGCCCAGCCGTCGATATGAGGAGCATAGATTTTATTCAACTTTGTTGAATCTGTACTTTTGTCTCTCATTTTAGCCTCTACAGAAGATGTTTTCTCCTTCATAAAACAAATAGCTCTATCCTTTCTACGATATTTGACTGTGGTATTATTTTTTCATTCAGGGCACAGACATCTTAAAATGCCTCTGGACTTTCACCAAATAGTATTTCTGCTTTTTGTTAAAAAATTATTGGGTTCCAAGCACAGTCCCACTGGTCTACGTTTTCAGTATATCGATCAGAATCATCTTCTTGCACAAAAAATAAAATAAGAACAAAAGTGGAACCTACATTAAGCTCCCAAACCAAGCTTTCAACAGATGTCTGTCTTTCAGAAGACCAGTAAACATCACTTCGTGTCCCTAGTGACACCTAATGGGCCAGTTTAAAACAAGAGCCAAATGCTCCTTTTTTCACAGTGAGGACATTAGGTGGACTCCATGCCTTGAAAACCACTCACGTATGTAGTTTTAGGAAGCCACTTGCCATTTCAACCTTGATTTTCTCAAATTCTTTGCTTTAAAATAATCATCAAGCAGAAGAGCAACTTGATAGCAGCTGTGTGAATGTGTTTCCCTGCTGCCAGCATCATCATCTCGAGTTATATTTAATGCTGACTTTGCAAATGGTTGAGGTAGCCCCAAGTACTGCCATTGTCTCCTTTTTTAAACACTTTCAAAATATTGATACTGTAATTTGCACTTCTGCATGTGTATCCCAGCAGAAGTGAGATTGTTTAATTGAGCAATTAACATTCATAATCTTTTTAATTGGATAAACTGTGACTTAAAGAACCTTCCCTCTAAAGACTGTGAAATAGGAAAGAACATCTCTAGAGGATTATCACATCAAGAGGCAAGCAGAAAGATTTCCTTGTATGATTCTTGTGAGTATGAGAGCTGAAACAGTCCACCTTGTAAGACAAAACACTCTTGTTGTGTTTTTGAAGCTATATTTCTTAGGCATGATCTTGATATATTTACTGACAACACTTAGAGGAAACCTTTTAAAACTATCTATGGAAATACAACGACAAATCCAAAGAATTTAGTTACTCGGTATGCTATATGGAGATAAGCTCAAGGTAGTAACAGGAGCTGTAGGGTTTACCTTGCTTAAGCCCCAAATTTTAAAGAACATTCTTAAGCTGTTTAGTGACTTCATGTATGGGTACATTCTGGTTTTGAAAATAGGATCTAAATCCTAGTCTAAACCACTTCTGTCAATGATCACTGCCCACTGTATCATGTTTCAGGTTGTGTGGTACAGTAACCGAGAAAAGGTAATGACATGTTTGTTTTGCAATGCTTTTATTAGAATAAATAGAAGAACCAACAATTAACATTCACAGAATCAATGAGATGTCACTGGAATGAAGATGGGAAATCGTAACAGTCAGGAAGATGTTGTATTCGGAGATGATGATTTATGAAGAAATGGTAGACTTTCTGTATGCTCCCTCAGAACAAGAGACACAGCCTTATAGTATGTGCAGCACAAAGAAGCCCAAACACATTCCTGGAAGAAGAACGCTTTGCTGAAGTTCAGAGCTTCATCTGCAAGTTGTCCAGGCATCAATTCAAGGATGGTGGCCCGGCAAGTTCAACAGAAAGGATTGTTCAGATTATTCTGAAAGCTGTGTTTATTTCACAGAACTCCTATAGAGAAACCAGATTCTCAATAGCAGTGGCCGAATTTCTCACAAAAATCAAAACAATGGGCCTGTCTCTCAAGTTATTCAATGATGATGGGAAATATTCCTAAACTACCTCATTCAACCCTAGGTGTAAGTCCTGCGTAGAAGTTGTGTGAGCAGAAATACCTGCACCTAAAGATCTGAAAAGTCACACACTTCTTCAAGAATATCTCCGTAGATACTGAAGGCTTTCCACTTGGAGAAAATATTGAGGAGATGAGATTATGCTACAATACTACAGTAAGGAAGGTCTCTTTCTGAGAAGGCAAGCATCATTTCCAGCTCTTTTTCTCTTTAGGGGGAACAATATCTACCAAAGAAGAGGATGATGTTGGTTGGGTTGTGTTTGATCAAGAAAAGGAAAGGGTGGTCAGCCCTAAATTCTTCAAAATCAGAGGAATTCTTGATGTCTCCCATCATCCCTGCTGAGTCAGCCATCTCAGTGCCCTCTTCATTGACTTCCATGTACGCCTGATGGATGGCCGCAGACATTCTCAGGCTCTCTGCCGAAGAGATGCCAGAGAGATTGGCCGAAGGGCTGAACAGGTCGGTCATACCCAAGGCCACTAAGACAGATGTGAGGTTATATTTTTCCTCAATCTTCATGCGTGGGAGGTACACTTTCACTCTCTTCTTTTCCATCACAGTGGGTCTGGTCCACTCCATGAGTTTTTCGAAGCTGATTTTGTTCTCAAGCTGCAAAGAGAGGCAGGGAATGAAATGCCTGAGACAAGAATGCAATGGCCTTAACATCTCTGTTTTCACCACTTGTTACTATTTTTAACCATTTATTTTGTGTACATAATAGAACTGATACTTAGTTTCAAGGTATTCATTTATCCTGTATGCTTCCTTCTGACTACAGCCTATATCACATCTGTCTTGATGAAGTTCTCCAAAACTTCGTCATCAGAAAATTTTTTCATAAGATCAAGGCGCTTTTTTTGTGAAAATACAGTTCTTGAGAACATCAAATAAAATTGACCCCAACATAGTTCCTCCTGGAATAGATTTTATTGATCCCTTCCTTCATCTTAGTTCCTTTCTAATGGTACTTTTCCTCTTTTCCTTTTAGTCAGTTCTTGGAACGCTGTCCTCATCACTTCCATTTTCTGTTTCCCCTTGGATAAACTTTACCTGTTTAGCAAACCGTTGAGTGCTCTCCTGGAAGACTGAAATCACTCAAAATGAAAAAAAAAAAAAAAATCCTGCTAGCATGTCTGTTTCTGTTACCTGATGGAGATCAGAGCATATAGCAAGATCCTCTTCTGCAGGACTGCAGCAACGCTATGTTCCTCTACCTTTGTTCTATTAGATGGAGTCCAGGGCTCTCCTAAGAGACCAGTCTCTGCCTGAGCACCTGGTAGCACCTGGGCGACTATTGCACTCCTGTCTCCCCAGCACAGCCGTGGTGTGGGCAGCTGGGATGTATGTGGACAGCAAAAGGTCAGCCAAGTCCCACTGAAGTGACAACACTTCTGCTTCCCTGCCAGGGCCATACCTGCTCCAGGCCAGAGACGTCATCAGGCAGCAGCACCAACATGCTCAGCTCCCCGCTGGCGTACGGAAGCTCCAGGATCTTCATTTTCTCTGCAGCCACCACTGCCACGCTGAAGGTGCTGTTCTGACACATCATTTGCACAGGTCTGCTTTCTCGCTGCAAAACACAAACGTGAGACAACGTGACCGGGGAGGAATTTTTTATTTTAAGCAGGCGAAAACGTACAAGCCCTTTGAAAGGGGCAGGACTTGATCTTCGAGCACGTTGCCTTTGGGGAAGAGCTGTGTCTCCGTTTTCCTCTCCTGCCTGCTGGTGTGCCCTGGAAGCCCGGTCAGGCACAGCGCTGGCAAACCATGGCACGTTGTGTGTGTGACACCCAGATCGCTGGCTGGGGAAGGGGACAGCGCCCGTGCCCCCCTACCTCTGTCACATTGAAGGGCACTTCCCGAGTGTGATCTGCTTGAAACGCCGTCTTCCATATCCCTTTGAAGTAAATGGCATTCACAAGGACCAGCGCGGTGTCGAGGTCAACAGAGCCTGGTTCAAGGAAATCTTGGATCTGTCCTTTAAGGAAGAAGCAGGGCAGAGAGTGGTAAGATACACCTTCTCTGGTGTGCAGAGATGCCTACAATGGAGGGCATGGGGGTGGGGGGTGCCGCTATGGAGTTGTCTTGTCACAGCAATAAGCAACCTGCTCTTGCCTGACCCACTTTTTCCAGATATTATGAGGAGAGGAAGAGAAGGGTGTAGGTAACAGCAGATAGGGGAAAATATCTGCCATGCGTTTTTGAGTCCTTACCATTTGTCTCTTTCTCCATCCAGGAATTAATGAGCCGTCTTGCTTCCTCTGAAGCTGTTTTGAAGTCAACTTCTTCCAGCCCTGTTTTGTAGAATTTCTTTGCACACTCTAAGTATTCCTGTAAGCAGAAAGCTTGCAGTTGTCAGATGGATGAGGACTTGTGAATGTGAAAGGAGGCAGAATGGTTGAAAGAACAGTCAACTTCCACCCCTGTATTTTAACATGTCAATCCCAGATGTCTTCCTGTAAATGAATCTTAACGCTGGACAAGAAAGGCTACTTCATGTGTTTAGGTCTGGCACATTTTTTTCAGATAGGAATCTAAGTTAAAATTTTGAAATATTTCCTTGGTTTTACCCAAACACTTTCAGTTTAACAAAAATTCTTAAGGACAGAAAATGTTTGTTTCCTTCTCTTTGTGCCCACTTTTTTTTTGAATACTGTGTTCTTACATTCTTAGGTTTCAAAAACAGAGCTTCCTTTCACTGGGAAGATTTCATATTTGGCTTTGAAAAAATCCAAATTTGACAATCTCATTCTTCGTGCTTTCAAGTCATAAAATGTATTTCATTTCCCTTAAATGTTGCATTTTTCTTTAAAAGCCATTTTCTAGCAAATGAACAGCAATCCTGGTTACTCCCTGTGACTGTTGCAACATGGACATATTTTATGCCGTTATACTTTTGCCTGGCCTCCACCTGACAGCCACAGGAACGTTCAAACTCATCCTGAACCAGTATCCCTCATGGCTCACAACTACCTTTTCATCAACAGACAGTGGGCTATTGGTGGTGGTGCTTCTCTAGGGTAGAGTCACAGGAATTTTGGTGAAGCCAAGTCACAGTATAACTCACCGAGAGAATGGGGTATGTTTTTTCAATATAGAGTCTGTCAGCAATCTTGAGTAAGTATGTAGCATTTGGCATGGTGATGTCTGAGAGAAGATCCTTGAAGGAATCGTTGATGTATTCAGAAGAGCCACACTGAGGTGATGACATGAAAATAAGAAGATACATTGCATTAGCTTCTTCTTATCTAGGAAATAAGACCCTAATGCTGTCCTTATCAGTTAAAAGTCATGCTGCAGTTGAGTCCTCCCCCACAGATGTAGGGCTGTCACCTTTGGGACAGCAGGTGCTGTGGTGATGGCACATTGAACCAACAAGTTCATCCTTCTGAAGATAAAAAATGTGCTCTTTGTTAAGAGTGCAGTTGCACTTCTGTCACTGAGGCTTCTGGGCTCTTCTCTTTCCACCACCTTCCTGCCCTGCGTTGGAGTCTCTCTGCTGCAAGTCTGACTGCTGTGCCCTGGCTCCAGGTGCTGAGCTCCTTTCATGTGCTGTCCCCTAGTAGCAGTTGCCCAGGAAGGCACCCTGGTGCCCAAAGCATCCTGCCTCACACCATCACTTGTTCTGGTGCAAGATGTGCAACCTGCCTTCTTTCCCTGGTTTTTAACAGATAGGTGAGTTACACCCTCCTTCCCTCCCTCCACAGGTCTCCTTGGTTTGAGAACGTTACCATAGTTTTTGACAAGATTTGAAACTGCCAGGAGAAGAGACAGAATGGTTCTAGTTTTGTTCTGGGGAGAAAATAAGACAGAAAGGGAGATCAAGTTATTTATCTACCTGGGAGTCAGTAGTGTCTCCAACTCCTGTAACGTTACCAAAGTGAAGAACCTGCAAGAGAAAACGCCAGCGGTAGAAATGACAAGCATGACCAAAAAGGATGTGAATTTGAGATTTACACACGATGCTTGAGGTAAAGCTGTTGGCTCAGGGAAAAAAAAAGTGCTAACTGAGAACATAGATGAACTAAAAATTTACAAGTGAGCTTACAACTGGTTTGTGTCCTCTGTGGCCTTCTTGAATGCTGTAAATACCACTCTTTGCTTAGATGGTGCACAAGACCATGGGACCTGATGAGGTGCATCTGTGGGTCCTGAGGGAACTGGCAGATGAAGTTGCTAAGCCACTATCCATCGTATTTCAGAAGTCGTGGCAGTATGGTGAAGTTCCCACTGACTGGAAAAGGGGAAACATAGCCCCCATCTTTAAAAAGGGGAAAAAAGAAGACCCAGGGAACTACAGGCCAGTCAGTCTCACCTCCGTGCCTGGCAAGATCACGGAGCAGATCCTCCTGGTGACTATGCTAAGGCACATGGAAAACAAGGAGGTGACTGGTGACAGCCAACATGGCTTCACTAAGGGCAAATCCTGCCCAACTAATTTGGTGGCCTTCTATGATGAGGTTACAGCATTGATGGGTAAGGGAAGAACAACTGATGCCATCTACCTGGACTTGTCCAAAGCATTTGACACTGTCCCACATGACATCCTTGTCTCTATTTTGTGACTTTGGCTTATTTCTTGTGCATTAAGTCAGGCAAGAACCTCATCAGCGGGTAATATATTTCAGTGATGTTGTTTAGAAGGAACAACAAGCACAAGTAGAGGTCGCTTTACATCCATGTAAGTAACTCACCTTCCCCATCTGAGATTGAGTGTTACCTCTTGCTCCCATAAAGATCATGGCCAGGGTTGAAATGATGCTCAGGGGGGAATAAAACACATTGTCGTTGGCGTAGTGGACTTTCAGCTCTTTGAATACATCAAAGCAAAATTCTGCATTTGCTGTGCTGATGGAGCCCATTGTGAATTCGGTGTTGTCTAAAGCAAACAGAAAGAGTCGGACTTAGTAACGAAATACATTAATTGTAATGCAAGAAAGTCAGTGCACTTGAATGCCTGAACTTGGTGCACGGGTGGTTTTTTTTCAGCAAACAGAATCCTGTGGTGTGGATTTAAAAGGCAGACACGCTTTTGGATTCATGAGCAACCAAAATGCTGGATAGCTTCCAGTTATGCGTAGGCTGGCGATTCTTTTTTTTGAAACTCGTGGTCCCCATCTCTGTATGCCTATATCATATTGTTGAAAATCTTGCAGAGAACATTCGTTACCTTGAAAGAAGCTCACTGAGAGTCTTTTCTTACCTCTTAAGGAAAAAACACACACACATTTGTTCTCAGAATCTTCCTTATTTTGAGACTTCAAGCCAGGTTCTTCACTGTGGTTTTTAACATCACGTTTAAGATCAGTTAGCAGATCTATGGTCCAAACCACAGTTAATTCCAGTATACAATGTGCAAGGCTGAAGTAACAGCGTAAGTTCTGCGAGGTTTGCTCTAATTTCAGCCCAGTGTAAATGGAAGCTAGGTTCTTATGCCACCTGCTTTGTCAGAGGTCTCAAATGTTAGCAACGTTACCTTCATTTTTTTAAATAGGATAACGAAGGCATAGCAATGGAGACTGCAAATTATTTACCAAATTCCTCCAGTTTATGAAAAACACCTATAACTAGTGCATGTTCCATTCATTGTTGACTCAATTACATCTCACTCCGTTTGAGAAAAATGCTCTTTAATGTTTATTATCACCTTTTCCATAAAATCCACCTTTTAATAAGACACTGCTTGTTTAGCCTTGTGTTTAACTCGCAGAGGCTTTCACATCTTCAATATTTAAATATTTTTTTCTGCCCTTTTTCTACATTTTTGTAAAATTTTCCCTGTAGTTGCAGCACCTAGCATTTCAACATCACTGAAGGGAAGGATTTTTTAGTAAAGACAACAACACAGAGTAGAAAATACAGTACTGTAAAGTCTAATGCAGCAGTAAAGTGTTTAAATATAAATTCCCACATGTTGACAGCAAGCAGAGAGAACCTTGCTAGAATGGAATTTCCCTGTGTGTATCCAGACAGCTTCACGCAGTGCAAACTTTAATTTGTTTCCCTCTGTGACTGCTAGAGAATAAAATCCAGGATACTCTGCAAGATGTATCACAGTCTCTATGGAATCCGCCCATCCATGTGGCAGTGATCTCTTAGCGTGGGATAATTTGAATAGTGCATCCCTGCTAGAATGGATGCTCAATCTCTCTCTAAACTGAACCATATATATAAATCACATAAATAAGGTAGGTTTTTTTATTATTTACCAATTCTGCTAGCTATTCGACTTTAAGCTTTAAGCTCCATTTATGGTCTTGATGAAGAAACGTATTCATGAAGCAAATGCTTTCTTTTTTCTTTTTGATCTTAGAAAATGTAACTGTTAAAGATAACACAGAGCTGCAATATGCTGGGGTCACCAGAACATACTGCATTCCTTAGTTTCATTCAGAGAGCATCTTCCATAAACCCTGCAACTGAGCTTCAGTTGCGTCCTCTTGAATTTAAACAAATTCAATTTTGTCTTTTAATTGAAAATGAAAAATTAAACGGACAGAGAAAGAAGGAAGAAGGACTATCATAACATGTCACCAGCTTTTCAATGTGTGAAATCAAAGTATTAGTTCATACAAACAAATACTTTGACTTCATGCACGGCAGAATGTGAAACATTAGTATAATGCGGAGCAGACACGTGAAGGTGAGATGAGGTTTCTGCAAGAGGCATCCTTTAATCATTTGCTTCTTCAACTGACATTGAAGATCATAAACATGAGGTTTCATCAATCTTTTTGTGAGTTTTGTAAGAGAGATTTCTTTTTTAAATTGCAGATTAGAACTTAAATCATAATCAAAAGAAATGCTTACCTTGTCAGGTTCACCTGTGAAGGTAATAGTACAGCTTCTCAGCTGTACTTGGGGCAGGCTTGCCCAAATCCTTCCAATATATCTTGTGTAATTTTTGTGACACGCCCCATGCTGTCTGTTCTGTGTTTACCAAATAAAATGATGGATGGAGATCAGTGTCAGACAGGTACTTTTACTTGGATTAAGTCCATTCTTAAAAAGAAGAAGAAAAAAAAAAAAAGCCTGAATAAAAGGATTTTACCCTAAAATCACCAGAATGGAAGACTCATTCATCATAACACATGAAACCTTGCAGAAAAAGAAGGAGCATATTGAAATGGCTAAATCAAAAATAATTATAAAAGCCATTCATTGGAACCTGAATAGTAAGTATGATTTGGTTATGGCTGCAAACAGTGCGGCACAGCCAGTGAAAATAAATAAATAAAAAAACAACTGTGAAATTCAGTCTTGCAGAATGTCTCTAAAGAATTTTCATTTAATTTCCTTATTATTCCCCTGTAATGAGTACTGACAGGCCAGATCCCTCTTGGAGGGAGGGAAAATTTTTTTGAGTAACACTTTTTTACTCAAAAAATTTGGTAAGATCAGCATATGCAGGACTGCTAGCTATGGCATGCCCACACTATGCAGATTGTAACCTTTCTCTATCCTGTTGTTGGCTAAACTACCAATATCACTGGTCTTTCTTCCCACCAGAATCCATAGCTCTTGCTGAGAAATGGAGAAACTTCTGCTACTGAGGAACATGAGAAAGAGCACATCCTTCAAATCATATTTGCCAAATCTAATAATAGTGAAACAGATTATTCTGCAAAACTTGTATGTGATCGCCCAGTGCTGCTTACAGCCTGCATTGTAAAAGACCACAGACAGAGTGGTTCACAGAGCACAGTTTTTCATCCTAGAGCAACCTAGCTCAGGGAGCTCATTCACAGTCTGCGCAGCTCATCAGTGGAACAAAACCTTCAGTAAGCATACTGTGGGAATACCAATTAATTTCAAAAACAATATTCAGAGCATCTGTATAGAGAAGAGTTACAGAGCTGAAGAAAGGTGTGTTGGGGAAAGATGGGCTGAGCAGAGAATCAGAATCATAGAATGGTTTGGATTGGAAAGGACCTTAAAGATCATCTCGTTCCAACCCCCCTGCCATGGGCAGGGACTCCTTCCACTGATGAGCTTCTCATCAGCCAGCACCCCCATGTCATTCTCCTCAGGGCTGCTGTCAAGCCATTCTCTGCCCAGTCTGTACTTGTGCTTTGGATTTCCCCAATCCACATGCAGGACCTTGCACTTGTCCTTGTTGAATTTCATGAGGTTCTCACAGGCCCACCTCTCCAGCCTGTCAAGGTCCCTCTGGATGACATCCCTTCCCTCCAGCATGTCAACTGCACCACAGAGCTTGGTGTCATCAGCAAACTTGCTGAGGGTGCACTCAATCCCACTGCACATGTCGCCAACAAAGATGTTAAATAACACTGGGCCCAGTACCAACCCCTGAGGAACACCACTTGTCACTGGCCTCCACTTGGACATTGAGCCATTGTCCGCAACTCTCAGAGCGTGACCATCCAGCCTTTCCTTATCCACCGAGTGGTCCATCCGTCAAATCCATCTCTCTCCAATTTGGAGACAAGGATGTCATGTGGGACAGTGTCAAATACTTTGGACAAGTCCAGGTAGGTGGCATCATTTGCTCTTCCCTTATCCATCAACACTGTAACCCCATCATAGAAGGCCACCAGATTTGCCAGACACAATTTGCCCTTAGTGAAGCCATGTTGACTGTCACTAATCACCTGCTTTTTTCCCTTGTGCCTTAGCATAGTTTCCAGGGGTACCTGCTCCATGATCTTGTTGGGCACAGAGGTGAGACTGACTGGTCTGTAGTTCCCTGGGTCTTTCTTTTTCCCCATTTTAAAAATAGGTTGGGTTCCAGTCAGTGGGAACTTCACCAGACTGCCACAACTTCTCAAACATGAGGAATAATGGTTTAGCAACTTCATCCACCAGTTCCCTCAGGACCCGTGGATGCATCTCATCAAGTCCCATGGATTTGTGCACCTTCGGGTTCCTTAGATGATCTCAAACCTGATCTCCTACAGTGAGCGATTCTTCCTTCTACCAGTCCCTGTCTTTGCCTTCTGCCACTTGGGCAGCGTGACTAGAGCTCTTGCCAGTGAAGACTGAGGCAAAAATGTCATTGAGAACCTCAGCCTTCTCCATATCCCAGGTAGCCAGGTCTCTTGTTTCCTTCCAGAGAGGGCCCACATTTTCCCTAGTCCTCCTTTTATCACTGACATACCTACAGAAGCTTTTCTTGTTGCCCTTCATGTCCCTGGCCAGATTTAATTATATCACGGCTATCCGAAGAAAGACCAGGCTTCTGTTGCTTTTTAAATTCAGACATCAGGATGTTTAGACCCCAGTCAGATGTTACCAGAAAAGGATTTGAACTTGCTGCAAAAATTTTGCACGGTAGTTTAAAGTGAGTTGTTCTTTTCCACAGGTCAGAGCACCTGATGCTGGGTTCAAAATGTGCCTTTTGTACATACAGAGACCATTCTTACAGATCTTCCACAAGTAACTTCATGGCACATCAGGTAAACAGACCAGCTGAAGAAACATTCATGGTCTGCAGGACAGTCATAATATACAATAGCGAGCAGAAAGCAGGGGCATAATTTGTCTGAAATAAAAGAATGAACAGACAATAAAATAAACTAGTTTGACCTCTCCAAATGCCATGTGATTTTAAAACAGAAATCCAAAGTCAATACACAAAATGACTCTGAAATTGTCTAAAACAAACTATGCTTCTGGAGAGAAGAGGTGTACTCTTTAACCCTTTTAGTTGTCTACGCAAGTGGGAAGCCTCGGAACCATCCCTACCTTTCTCCCTCATACAGTCCTTATTAAATATTCTTGTTCAGTTGAAGATATTAGTGAGATAACAACCATTAAGAGCTCAGTCTGGACTGTTGCACTTACATACCACTCCTACTTTATGTGGCACAGTATGTAGCCCAGGCTGGTCTGCTACAGCCAT